TAATTAGTGAATTTTATCAATTATTTAGCAATTTATTATTAAAATTTACTAATCATTCAGAAGAGAAAAGTTGTAAGTAATGTAATTCTTTAATTTTACTAATTCAAAAGTAAAAAGTTGTAAGTAAGTAATTAGTAAATTTTACTATTAAATGAGTACTAATTTATTAGTAAAATTTGATGACTTAAAAGCAAAAAAGAAGTAAGTAATTAGTAAATTTTATAAATAATTTAGTAATTCATTAGTAAAATTTACTAATTAACTTACTTACTAGTTTTTGCTTTTTAAGTAGTAAATTTTACATATAAACTTGTACTAATTTTACTAATAGATTTTACTAGTAAGTAAGTAAGTAAGTAAATAGTAAAATGATATTAACTCGTTAGTTTAGGAAAAATTTAATTTTAATAGAAATTTTTTTTTCTGTAAAAAACAATTTAATATTCAAAGGAAAACCACAATTATAAATATAATAATAGAAAAATCACAAACCTTATAATGTTGGTGGAAAACACTCAAATTTAACGAATTTTTAAATAAAATCTTCAACTTCTGCAAAAATTGAAATTGACTAATTATTAATTACTAAGTAGTAACTTTTTGCTTTTGAATTAGTAAATTCTGCTATAAATTAGTACTAATTTTACTAACATATTTTACTAGAAATTAGTAAGTAAGTGAAAATAGTAAATTTTTGTAATGTAAAAGCAAAAAGTAGTAAATAATAGTAAATATTAGTAAATTTTACTAAGAAATTAGTAGAATTTACTAATATATACTATTAGTAAAATTTACTAATATTTACTAGCAGTAAAATTTACTAATATTTTTTACTAGTAAAATTTACTTATATTTTTTACTATAGGAAAATTTACTAATATTTACTACGAGTAAAATTTATTAATATTTACTACTAGTAAAATTTACTAATATTTACTGCTAGTAAAATTGACTAATATTTACTACTTGTAAAAATTACTAATAAGTACTACTAGTTAAATTTACTAATATTTACTACTTGTAAAAATTACTAATAAGTACTACTAGTAAAATTTACTAATATTTACTACTAGTAAAATTTACTAATATTTACTACTAGTAAAATTTACTAATTCAAAAGCAAAAAAGTAGCAGTAATAATTGCTTACTAATAAAACTAAAGTAAATTAAATACCACACCAATTTTTTTCTATTTTGTCTTTTTCTTGTCGAAAATGAATTTAAAAAAAAGATTTTTAAAAACAATAAAAAATATATTTGAGACTAGTGACTTATCAGCGAAAAAGTAAGTTGCTATCGAGAATAAATGTTTTTCAAAGTTGCAAGGCTTTTGAACATGATTTTAGTCGACGCTGTCGTTGCCTATTGAACGAACGAAAACGTTTATTGCTTTTCGCCACCGATTTGATAGAGAAAGACACACACACACACATTGTGTGAGAGAGAGAGAGAGAGAGAGAGAGGGAAAAGGGGTTTGGATGCCAATAAAAATTCTCCTATGTTCTCTCTCTCACTCTGTATGTGCACAAATGGCTAATATATATAGAGTTCACAAAGAGCCCTCTCGAATCGTAAAGGCCACCAATCTACCCTTCAAAAAAAAGTAACTCAATTTCGCAGCCATCTTAATTGACAAAAGAGTGCGATTTTCTAGTTTGGTGGCATTTTTTTCGAATTTAATTTAATTTGCAAATTCCACAATATTGGAAATATTATTTTTATTATTTTTATTATTATTATTATTATTATTATTGTTATTTTTATCAAAATATTTTATATCTTGTTGTTTGTTGTTGTTACTATATTTTTGTTAATTAATTATTATTAATTTTTCGCATTAAAGTCAATAAAATTGTTTATTGAAATATTTTAATTAAAGAAACTAAATGAAATATTAATTAAAAAAAGAAAAAAACAGTTTTCATGTTTAATTAAAAAATGTATATATATACGATATACCTTTTTATTTTAGTTTTTTTAATTAAAAAAGAGAATATTATTAACATTTAAAAGTTCAAGTGATTTAATAATTAAAATTTTATTTTATATTAGCACATAAATGAATGAAATATTAAAAACTTATTGTGAATTGTAGCAGAAGAAAAAAAATTATGGAAAAGAATTTGAAACTTGCGAAAGGAGTTTCTTTGATAGGCTAGCATTCTTTTCCTCGAAGGAAAATAATCTCCGAGCACAATAAACTTATCCTCTCGCGGTTTTTTTTTTTTTTTAATTCTAAAATATTCACTCTTTACATATACGCGCAGTTGAAAATCGTCGATTTTCCTTCGCATTTGCATTTTATTCATTTTCTTCCTTTTATTATTTTTATTTTTGGTTTGAAATCAAAGATTTATTCTCTTTTCAATATTAATCAAATTTACTGATGACTATTAATAATCTTGTATTATATTGAAAACTTTTATTTTTATCTTCGATAATTAAAATTCTGAAATAGAATGATTGACAATTGGACTTTTGAAGTGGCTGCAATCGAGTAACTGACTTTTAATTAAAAAAATGTCTTTAAATATTAAAAAGTAAATTTTTATCAACTATAATGAACTTTCAAAGTAACTTTAATAGCAAACTTTTAATTAAATCATTTCTACTTCAAAAGTAAGGAGTAATTGAATATTTAATAACTAGTTTAGAAGTAATTACTAACCCCTTGCTAAATAAATACTAACCAGTTGCTAAATAATTATTAAGTAATTACTTACCAGTTGCTAAATATAATTAGTAATTAATTACTAACCAGTTGATAAATAATTACTAATTAATTACTAACCAGTTGATAAATAATTACTAATAACTAACAACTAAATGGTATTATCTAATTGCTAATTACTAATTAATTTGTTTAATTAATTAACATCTAGATAATTATTAACTAATTACTAATTAATAACAAACTCCTAAGTTACAATTAATTTGTTTTTAATAAAATACTAACAACTAAATAGAAACCAACTAATTACAAATATATAACATATAAATGCAAACTAAATAATTACTAATTTCTAACGAATAACTAAAAACTATTAAATTCCAATTAATAATAATAACAATAATAATAAAATATTAATAATTATTATTGTTATTGCATAATTATAATAAATTATAAATAATAATAATAATAAATATAATAATGATAATAATAATAATAATAATAATAATACTAATAATAATAATAATAAATAAAATAATAATAATAATAATTTTAGTGATGATTTTCTTTGCTAATATTTTTAAATGAAACCCAGAAGGTTATTTCAAATACAATTTTTTTTTTTTAATATAGAATTTAAAACAGAATATGTGCCAATAAAGTTTTGATAATAAAATTAAAAATTTGAAATTTAAATTAGAAATCCTAATTTGAAAGTCAAATAGAAAATGAATTTTATTAAAACAGAGTTTATCAGAAATAAAAATATATCATTTTCAATGAAAAAAAAGAAAAATAAATTGATTGAGGTACAATTTTTCTGTTTTTATTTCCTAATTAACAAAAAATGTTATAATGAGAGTTTTTTTTATAAATTTTGAGTGATCTTTGTGATTCAAAAAATATAATAATAGAATAATAATAATAATAATAATAATAATAATAATAATTTTTAAAAAATGCAGAAAGTCATTAACGAGAACATTTTTTATAATAAAGTCGATAAATCTGATGGGAGAGACGTGCGTCTAAAATCTTCATAAAATATTGCATTTTTTTCATATAAACCACGACAAGCTTATAATTAAGCTACATTTATTTTTCAAACTATCAGCATTTTTTTTTTTTTATTAATAGCAGTTTGGAAAAAAAGTTGTTAATTTATTTCAACTCTTTTTTGTAATAAAATTCTTTTTTTTTCCAATAAATAAATTTTTTTTCACATTTTTAATAAATTCGATTAAAGTTATAGCATGTACTTTAATTAATATTTTATTACACACTGGGGAAAATTTGAATAATAAATTTTTTTTATAAAAAATTTCCTCTCTATATCTCTCTATGCAGCGAGGAGAATGTAAACAAATTTATTATTTACCTTTTATGCTATAAATTGTAACGAGATGAATGCAATTTTATTGTATGGAAAAAATGATTTAAAAACAGAAAAAAAACGAAAAAAAAAATGTTGCATGGCAATAAAGTTACACGTTCTGCTAAAATTTAAAGGCATAAAATATTATTGAATTTTTTTATTACTCGACAAATGTCATCAAGCAGCTATGGTCATATATATTTTTTTTTTTAATACTGTAACCAATGGACTTTTCAGAGACTTTAAAACTGCCAGTGTAATAAAAAAAAAAAATGAAACTTGATATTTCTCAGTTTCTTTAGGTATATTTTTTAAGCAAAAAGAAACGCTTTTCTTTCTGGGAAATTTTTATTTTTATTTTCTTTGTGCACAGTGATTGATTTTTACACGTTGTTTGAAATTATTTATACTTCTGATATTAAAAAATGATTCTTTTCTGCATTTGGGTTATAAGAAGCTTATTTTGTCCCTAGGGGAGAAAGAGACAACTTTTCCCCCGCTAAAAGGGAAATAATTTTCCTATAAAAATAGTAATTTTTTAAATGCTTGGTTTTAAAAATTTCTGTTCTCTTCCAAGTGAACAAAAAGTATTTTTTACACACTAGGATTAAAAAGGGTGTTTTTCTCCCTAGAAGTAAAAAGAACTTTTTTCCCCCTAGGGATAGAAAGAACCATTTTTTCCTAAAAAAATTTACTATTTTCTAAAAAGAGAAAATTATTTAATCACTAGAATTAAAAAGTTTACTTTCTTCCCTAGGGTCAAAAAGAGCTATTTTTCACTCTTGATTAAAAAAATCAATAATTTTATAGTGCGAAATAAATTTCTTCTTCAATACAGACAAAGAAATTAATTTTATCCTATAACCTTGTGATATCAGTCTCGGAAATATATTTCCGTCTGATATAAGAATTGCGCAACTGCATCCTTTGATTAAAAAAGAGAAAAATTAGAAAAAAAATACAATTCAACAGTTGTTGTTCTCTCTTCTCCAGTGTTAAGAAGTAAATGAAAAATGAAAGTTAAAGTGAAGAAAATTTTTTGGTTCATTTTTTCATTGGTGTGCATCATCATTGAAGCTGATGTTATTAATTGTAATACAGACTCGAAGGTATTTTGACAAAAGAATTCCTTTTAAAAAATAAACGAAAATTCTACTAAAAAGCAAATTTTTGTCGCAAATATTTAATATTTAAAAAATAAACGAAAATTCTACTAAAAAGCAAATTTTTGTCGCAAATATTTAATATTTAAAAAATAAACGAAAATTCCACTAAAAAGCAAATTTTTTGTCGCAAATATTTAATATTTAAAAAATAAACGAAAATTCCACTAAAAAGCAAATTTTTTCACAAAAATTGAATTGGATTTGAAACAATTTCAATAATTTTTTCATAATAAAAAATATTTTCCTATAATAAAATAATTCATAAAAAATTAATTTTAATTCATATTAATCCATAATCTACTAAAATATTTCTATAATAGTTTTTTTTATCAAAAATATTCTCATTTAATAAAATATTAATTACTTAATTATAATTGATTTTAATAATATAATAAATAAATTATTAAGTACCTACCTAATTAATTTTTATTAATTATTCTTCTAAGTAATATACCTACTGAAATATTTTTATATTTTTTGCAATAAAAAATATTTTCTTTAAAAAAATAATTAATAATAAATTGATTATAATTAATAGAAATAATAAAAATTTAAATAAATAAATAGAATTCATTTTTTTATTTATTTAATGAATTTATTTTAATAAATAATTAAGTAATTAACTAGTTAATTTTTATTAATTATTATATTATAATTATATACAAAAATATTTTGTATAATATTTTTATAATAAAAAATATTTTTCTATAGAATAAAATAGTTAAGAATAAATTAATTAGAAATAATAATAATAGTATAATAATTAATTAATTTTTCTTCATTTACAGAAATTGGACGATAATCGTTTGGTATTAAAATTTTATAAAAATTCAACATTGTCAATAACTGGTTCTCTATTAAAACTCTCTGATATACCATTTAAAGAGGAGAGAATAAATAATTCAATGCCAAATATAGGTCAAATTATTAAAATTTTTGCTACTGAAAAATTAATTATCGATTGTGATATAAATGAAATTGGTGATGAAATGAATATCGTTTTTATTGCTCCACTATGTCAAGTAGATGGTTTGAGAATAATAAATTTAGATGGCAATTCCGCTGCAGTTAATCAAATATTAAGCGAAAAAAATGGCACTATTAATAATCATTCTAATAATCAAGGGGAAAATCAAAAATTAACAAACGGAAATGGTGGTAATTTCTATGGAATTTGTCAAAATTTCATTAATGCCGAGAATCTTTCAATTTCTGCCAATAAAGCTGCCAGCAAATTCATTGACAAAAATGGCACCAATTTTTCAAAAAATGGCAAAAATGGCACCAAGGAAAATTTTGAGTGTTATTATGATAGTGAAAAAACTGTAAATGGCAAAAATGGCACTCAAAAAAATTTCAAATGCCAAAATGGAACGAATGGCAAAAATGGCACTCTAGAAAATTACAAATGCCAAAATGGAACGAATGGCAAAAATGGCACTGAAGACAAAGGAAAATGCAAAAATGGCACTCAAGAAAATTTCAAATGCCAAAATGAAACGAATGGCAAAAATGGCACTTTTGAACATAAAAATGGCATTGAGGGACTCGAACCAACAGCAAATGTACGAGAAGGAGAAATAATTATTATAATTTTGGAAAATCCGGAAAAAAAATATCCAAAAATGTCCCCTTCGAATTTTTCCCACGATTTTCAAAAAATGGACAAATTCAACTTTCTTCAAGTGTTGAATGATTTTAATTTCTTCGCTCAATCGTCGTATTTTCTCAATTCTACCAAAAATATAACAAATTTTCATAATTTTCATCAAAATCTTCTGAAAAATGTAAAAAATTTCTCTCCAATTCTCCAATTTATCGACGAATTTATCAATTTGGAAAAATTCTACTATCGTTTCAATGAAAATCGTTCAATTATTATTGATTCCTATAAATCGCTTCAAGATCGTCTGAATAATTACAGTGGTGACAAAATTGAAAAACAAATTCCAAACGAGGAAAATATTTTAAAACATCTCAGTGAAAATTTATCCGTAAGAATTGAAAATTTAACGACAAATTTCCAAACTGATGAAAATTTAAATCAACTTGTAAAAATTCTGACAAAACGAAAGGAAAATCGTGAAAAAGTTTCACAACTTCAAGAAGTATTGTCGACAAAATTATTTCTTGAACAAAATTTTATCCGAATTAAAAATTTCCTCTCCAATGAAGTACAAGGGAAAATCGATAAATTCACAAAAAATGTTAATGAGAAAATTGATGATTTAATTTGTAATTTGGATGAAAATAATAATTTAAAAAGTAGAAAACAGTTGGAAAATTTAATTCAAGAGAAATTTTCATTGCACACAATTTATTTAATAAAACTTGCAATTGAATTCACGTTACCAATGGTATTTATTTTATTTTTTAAAAATTTTTATCAATTTTCAAATTCTAGGGAAAATTTTCCCTTTAATGATGTCGAAGAATTTTATGAGAATATTTATTTAAATTACAATAATTACGCGGGGAGACGTATTTTAATTCTAGCGGAGCACATAAATTTTATTGATGAAAAGAAATTAGAGAATGGAAAATTGAGAGAATCATTAGGCAGTCTTAGGGGAAAATTGATGAATCTTTTTAAAAATCTCACCTCATCGTATTGGATAAAGAAGGAAATATTTAAATCGGAAATTGAAATTCTTTTAGGCGAAGAGAGGAAATTGAATTCTTTATCTGAAAATAATAAAATTTCATTAGATATTATTCAAAAATTGAAAATTGATTTAAAATTTGCACAAATATTTGGTGAATCGTATAAACAATTTTTAAACATCACTGAAATTCATAATATTATTAATAATATGACGGATAAATTTGATTATATAGAAGAAAAACAGCAAAAATTGTATGAAGAAGTTTTTCCCGATTTAAATACATTGCGAAAGGAATTTTTAATGACAGAAGAATTTTTACAATTTGATGAGTCAAATCCAAGAAATAGATTGTTAATTTTTGTCTCTGGTTTTTTGAATGAAATTTACATGGAGACAAGTTCAGTTATTTTACGTGATTGGCATAATGGTAGTTATGATATTTTTTCGATTAATCTGAGAAAAACAGCAGAGGATATACAAGAAATGTTGTTAAAATTGTTGGGAATGAGAAAAATAGCTAAGGATAAAAATCACATGGCTAGTGATCCATTGATGAATTATAAATTATCGTTACTGACCTTATATCAAGAGGATAATTATATTGTGGATTATTATTTGAAAATTTTGGCAAAATTCAAGGAGAATAATTTTTATGACAAAGAATTTTTAATAAAGAAGAAAAATTGGAGTAAAAATTTCCTCGCGGACAATTGGGGAGAAATTTTTGATTCAACGATTGAACAAATTGAACGTAATGTTGATGTGATGATTCGTAAAAATGTAACCGATAAAAGTGGGGATAAAATAAAAAATTTGTAAAATAAATGTTTAATATACCTACCAAAAGCACACATTGACCACTCCCTCTTAATAACCCCTCCTACTTTAGCTCCTCCTACAATATAACACTCCTACTGAGACTACTAGTTAATATCCGCCTACTTAGAACACTCCCACTTAATAACTTCTTCTCCATTTGCTCCACCCACTTAATAACACCTTTATTTTTCTCCTCCCACTATTTAGTTCCGCCTAATTTGACCACTCCCACTTAATAACTCCTTCAACTTTAGCTCTTTCTACTGATTTACCCCCACCTATATTTAGTTTTAATTATACCCTGCCAACTTTCGCTGCTCCCACTTATTATCCAATCTAATTTTAGCTCCTCCTACTAAATAATTCAACCTACTTTGCCAATTACCTAATATCCCGCCTACTTTGGCTGCTTTCATTTATTACCTTTTTCGAATTTAGCTTTTCCTACAATATAACATTTCTACTTTGACTACGACTTAATACCCCGCCTTAGAACTTAGAACACTCCTAGTGAATAACACCTTCTAGTTTGGCTCCACTCACTTTAGAAAACTCTACTTTGCTCCTCCCACATTTTAATTACGACTATTTTGACCACTCTTACTTAATAACTCCTTAAACTTTAGCTCCTCCTACTGAATACCTCCACCTATTTTGAGTTCTACTTAATACCCCGCCTACTTAGAACACTCCCACGTAATAACTTTTTCTCCATTTGCTCCACCCACTTGATAACACCTATATTTTGCTCCTCCCACTATGTAGTTCCGCCTAATTTGACCACTCCCACTTAATAACTCCTTCAACTTTAGCTCCTCCTACTGAATACCGCCACCTATTTTGAGTTCTATTTGATTCTCCGCCTACTTTGGCCACACCTACTTCATATATTCATATATTGTAGTCCTTCTACTACATAACCTCATCTACGTTACTCGTACTTAATACCACGCCCACTTTGACCACTCCTACTCAATACTTTAATAACCAAATGTACAAAAATTTTACTTAAAAATTGGCAATATTTTTAAACAATAAAACGCAAAAAGAAAAAAATTTCTCATTTGGCATTTCTTATGGCCCATAAATTCATAATCCATAATCCATAATCCTTCTTTCCTTTCTTTCACTGTAAATTTAAAAATAAATAAATTGCAGATAGTTAATTAAAAAAATATAGATTTTTAAAGTTTTTTTTTAATTAACACTATTTTAGACAGGGGCGCATGATTATTCCCCAAATGTCATTTTTCCGAAATGTCATTTTACCGAACTGCAATTTTGCGAAAAGCCAATTTTGCGAAATGCCACTTTTGCTAATTGTCATTTTTACGAATTGTCAATTTTCCGAAAAGTTATTTTTGCGAAAAGCCAATTTTGCGAAATGCCACTTTTGCTAATTGTAATTTTTACGAATTGTCATTTTTACGAATCATTATTGTTCCGAAATGTCATTTTTGCGAATTGTCAATTTTGCGAATCGCCACTTTTACGAATTGCCATTTTTACGAATTGTCATTTTTGCGAATAGTCATTTTTGCGAAAAGTTATTTTTACGAATTGTTATTTTTGCGAATCGCCATTTTTACGAATTGTCAATTTTCCAAAAAGTCATTTTTGCGAATCGACATTTTTACGAATTGTCAAATTTCCGAAAAGTCATTTTTGCGAAAAATACAATAGAAAACTTGTGGGTCTATAAATTCACTATTGTATTTTTCGCAAAAATGACAATTCGCAAAAATGACTTTTCGGAAAATTGACAATTCGTAAAAATGGCGATTCGCAAAAATGACTTTTCGGAAAATGGACAATTCGTAAAAATGTCGATTTGCAAAAATGACAATTCGCAAAAATAGCTTTTCGCAAAAAAGACAATTCGCAAAAAATGACAATTCGTAAAAATGACTTTTCGCAAAAATGACTATTCGCAAAAATGACAATTCGTAAAAATGACTATTCGTATAAATGGCCATTCGCAAAAATGACAATTCGCAAAAGTGACATTTCGCAAAATTGGCTTCTCGCAAAAATGACTATTCGCAAAAGTGCCGTTCGGTAAAATGACATTTCGGAAAAATGACATTTGGGGAATAATCATGCGTCCCTTTTAGACAATTTACAACTTTCAAATATTTCCGGAAGAAAGAAATGTCGCGTAAAAAATGTCTAAGTTTTGATATGGTAACATATATTTAATTAAAAAACAAAATGGCGACACGAAAAAGTTATTTAAAGTTAAATTTCTAATAACAAATGTAAACCTAGTTTCAAAAAATTAAAAAACTTTCCAAATTAACTGGAAAATTATTTCTCAGGGGATTTTGGAGTCGCTGACTAAGAATCCGATGTCATTTTTTAAAAATTCAAAATGGTGGATCCAAGATGGCGGATGCAAAAATTAAAATTTTATCGAATTCACTGAAAAATTGTTACTCAGAGGTTTTCGGGGTGAGGTTGCATGATTATTCTCCAAATGTCATTTGACCGTGCTGTCATTTTACCGAATTGCATATATCCGAACTGTTATTTTAACGAAATGTCACTTTTGCGAATTGCCATTTTTACGAATTGACACTTTTGCGAAAAGTCATTTTTGCGAAATATAATTTTTTCAAATTGTCATTTATGTCAATCGTTATTGTTCCGAAATGTAATTTCTTCGAATTGTCATTTTTACGAAATGTCACTATATTGTGAATCGCCATTTTTACGAATTGTCATTTTTACGAAATGTCACTATATTGTGAATCGCCATTTTTACGAATTGTCACTTTGGCGAAATAGTTATTTTTTCGAATTGTCATTTTTACGAAATGTAACTATTGTGAATCGACATTTTTACGAATTGTCACTTTTGCGAAATAGTTATTTTTTCGAATTGTCATTTATGCGAACTGACATTTTTTCGAATTGTCATTTTTACGAAATGTTACTATTGTGAATCGACATTTTTACGAATTGTCACTTTTGCGAAAACTTATTTTTTCGAATTGTCATTTATGCGAACTGACATTTTTTCGAATTGTCATTTTTACGAAATGTCACTGTTGCGAATTGTCATTTTTGCGAAAATTGCTATTGTAAATTTGTATGCACATATATATATATATATATATATATATATATATATATATATATATATTATTATATATATATATATATATATATATATAATAATAATAATAATAAAATATATAATAATAAATATCAATTATATTATATTATATTATATTATATTATATTATATTATATTATATTATAATATAAACATCAATTTTCGCAAAAGTGACAATTCGTAAAAATGTCACAAAAGTGACATTTCGTAAAAATGACAATTCAAAAAAATGACATTTCGGAACAATAATGATTCGTAAAAATGATATTTCGCAAAAATGACTTTTCGCAAAAGTGTTAATTCGTTAAAATGTCGATTCGCAAAAGTGACATTTCATGAAAATAACAGTTTGAATAAATCCAATTCGGTAAAATGACAGTTCGGTCAAATGACATTTGGGGAATAATCATGCGCCTCTTCGAGGTCGCTGATTAAGAATCCGATGTCGTTTTTAAAAATTCAAAATGGTGGATCCAAGATGGCGGATGCAAAAATTAAAATTTTGTCAAATTTACTAAAAAATTGTTACTCGGGGATTTTTGCGGTAGCTGATTAAGATTCCGATGTGGTTTTCAATAAATTAAAAATGTCGAACCCAATATGGCTGACATTCTCAAAAGTTTATCGGATTCACTTGAAACTTGTCACTCGGGAGTTTTCGGGGTCGATGATTGCAAATCCAATGTCAGTTTTGAAAAATTCAATATGGCGGATCCAATATGGCGGACGACATTCTCAAAAATTCATTAGATTCACTTGAAACCTGTTACTCGGGGGTTTTCGGGGTCGCTGATTACGATTCCGATGTTGTTTTTTTAAAATTCAAAATGACGGATCCAAGATGGCTGATGCAAAAGTTAAAATTTTGTCCAATTCACAGAAAAATCGTTATTCGGGGGTTTTTGGGGTCGCAGATTAAGATTTTGATGTTATTTTTTAAGAATTAAAAATGGCGGATCTAAAATGGCGGAAACAAAAGTTAAAATTTTATGAAATTTACTAAAAAATCGTTACTTAGCGGTTTACAATTATCATGAAGCACAAAAAAAATCATTCTCTGTATAATAAAAAACTGAAAGTTAATCTTAAAATAATTCTGCGCTTGATTTAATTTATAAAAGAGAATTAAAAGTAATTTTTCACTATTTGCAAAGAGAGAAGATGGAGAGAGTAAAATGAAATTAAACAAATAGCCGACTTGATGCTGCTGCTGGTGGAGAGAAAAAATAACATTTAATAAAAAAACGAAGAAAAAGTTTGAGGAGAAAAATAAAATGAAAAAATTCCTGTACAGAGGGAAGATGGAGCACATGACAAAACGGGCGGGATCGTTTTGTGCAAAGGAATGAGGGTAAAAAGAGAAGAAGAAGTGTGCGAGAAGGGTGGAAGAGTTGAAATTGGGACGACGTGAAGACTCGATTGGAAAATAGAAATAGAGTAAAGTGCCAGCGGGTTAGAATAAAAGAAAAGGGGAAGAGGTGTTGGGGAACAGTTACTTCCGTGAGGCAACAGAATGCAAAACGAATTTCCGATACTTTCACATTTATTGGTGTCGATTTCGCTTCATAAATGTAGATATCGTCTCTTTCAACTGGCATTATTTTCTCGACAAAAAAAAAGGCAAAACAAAACGAAAGCTCCTTTTTGAAAATTTCATTTGGACCATTATCTTTTTTGAACAGAATTTCGTATTCTCTTTGTTCAATAGTCGATTTTAGTTTCTTGTTTCGATTTTTATTTTACTTTTTTCCATTTCACTTTTGGATTCTTTCCTTTTTTCTCAATTCCTCAAATCTCTTTTATTTTTTCAAATTGCTCCAAAAAAAAAAAAAATTACTGTTAACTTTCTTTACCCTTTTTTTCACCACCACCACCAATCCTTTATTAA